AATGGAGTACCACACGAAGATCCGGTGGCAGAAGCAACCGGAGAATCAAATGGGAAACATTGTCTTCGGTAAAACTGACTGACTGGCCGACCCACTTCGTAAGAGCGGACAAAGATTTATGTAAACAATCTTTTAATTAAGAAAACTGCGAAATATTGTATTTTAGAATTGGCTGTTTCGAGGCTACCCCAATTCTCGTTTACTGAAGGACTGTGAGTTTGCATGACAAAATGCACCAAAAAATCGGATGTTATTGGGAATTCTTCCGGTACTGCAGTCCGCCAATGGGACTGGCGAAACGAGGGGAGTGATTAACTAGTTTCCGTCTTTTCCAGTGACTGTACCAGCCAACTAGAGTTAAACAGTTGTATCCCTCGCTTTCGGAAGTCTGTTGAGTGTGCGAGAAATAAATATCTCGGTAATAGGCATGCTATTTCAGGTTCCCTAGCATAAGCCAGTTATGATACTGCCAGTTATGCTGACCGTTGACATAACGTATAAAGTTTATTGTCGAGCAATATCGCTTCTGCAAAAACCGGTCGATACCTCCCCTTCCTCTCGATCAGGACGGTGGTGCCACACATGACGGATAGCGTTGTTCTAACGAACGACCAATAGCAATGGCTTGAATAGGCATAACAAACGTTATATACCTAATCCATATCAAGAATGACTCTATCACCTTGACGCATGTTTCCGCAGCAGCAGGTACAATGATTATGACATGAACGCTGGCCCTGTTAAAGAAACCGGATGAGTATGAACGTTTTCCGCCAAACCATCGGTTTCTCGTATCGCAGCCGAAATACTAAAGTCGTTGAGCAAGAGCTAAGCATGAAATACGGTAGAAACCGATCTGCCGTCACAGCGAAATGTTTCTGTTCAAGATGAAATTGAGAAACTGCTCTTATTGCGGGTATGTTCAAAAGTTGAGAATTCAATGAGATATTACAAATCAAAGAGCTCTGCATATGCGAATGGTTCGAGTTGAATATCACGAATTATAAGTCTGAGATAAAATACTAATGATATTTATAGCACACTGCCGTCGTTGACCTCAATCTCCGTAACCGACGTAGAAACAAAGATGCTGGTCCCATCTTTTAAACTGTGCCACGCGTTTGGAGTTTTCAACCGAAAAATTGTGAATGGCGACGGCATTCGTTCACTGTTTTTCATTCAGAGCGTTAAATCGCGTGTCGACGAATTTCTGCAAATGATTATACCTCATTAGACTATGGTTCACCTCGTCGACAAGACAAAAGCTGCCTGCTAAAATCTCCACTGCCTGGTCTGACTCTTGACTCATGTCGCTTGACTATCTGGAAGGTTGCCCATCAGCATCAAAAGACGGTGTTAGGGAAAGACAGACTTCCGATACATTGGAAAAATGTCTTCAAGCTGATGCGCTAGTGCAGGAGCCTAGACGATTACAGGTTTGCTTTGCAACGTGTCACGTCACCTCTGTTGTACCTCGCTAGTATAGGCAGACTGCTGTTGTACCAACGAAGAAGTAACAGTGGCGGTTGTACTGCATACGACAGCGTTGGCTTGGACGCGTAATGAGGGTGAAACTGTAGGACTGCGTAAGAAGTGACTCAATTCTTTGCCGTGCACTCGTGACCTCAGAAAATTTGTCGAGACAAACCGGTTGAGCATCAGCCATTTACTCCAGCCCTTGATCTTCTCGGCAGACCTCGACCTGGAGGCCTGCATGCCACATGGAGAAACATTGTAGCAAAATGGTTAAAAGGCTGTGACTACAGCCAATATCGTAGATCAGAGACGTCGTGGTCATCCAAACAGATGACGGTGATTACTTCAAGAAACAAAATTTTGCAATTCAGAGCTGCCGCGTTTAAACCATAAGAGCGCTTGAGAAAACAATCCTTCCGGCGGTGCTTCCGAGCACCAGTCAAAGAAAGGCGAAACTTAGGCCATGTTTTACGACCGGTGCGTTTTGAGGTTGTGATTCGCCTCAACCCTCGTGATAACTGAATAAACATAATGATCAAGAGAATGACTTAGCGATCGTTTATTATTATTTATATTTCTAGTAAGTGGCACATTACTCGAACACGCGACCAACCATTCGCTATCTACGAAGGACCTAAAAACGACCACTTATGCCACGGCCGTTTGCGTATCTATGTCGCATCTGGTTTTGGGACATCTAAGTCGATCAACGCGTAACCGCTTAGCCTTGATCGAGACGTCAGTTGATCGTGCCGTAACGTCATCGCTGATCTTGTCTAGGTCGACGGCAAATAATTGTCGCAGAATATTGCCAGCGACGCCAACGGTTTTAAGGCGAAGATCTTCAGCTGATATTCCCCCAAGATTCGACGGTTTTTAAGGTTCAGATTTACTTTATATGCAAATTGCATTTTAGCTAATCCAGGGGACAACGACGTCAGAGGTTATCTATGAACATGTGGGTTGTTCAGAATCCAGTCGCGTCAGCAAACTCACTTCCCTAAGGTTCCGATTTTTCCCCTGCCGGGTGGTGGTTCTGAACGACCCGCATCAGTCGCTTCCTCCATCATCCTGCAGGTGTCGAGCTTTCTTCGTCAAGTTCAAAATTCTCCTTTTTGCCAGCAGCATATAACAGGTTATAACGACAGAAGTGTTACTCGTTAACGTAACTTAAT